CATTTGCGCCTTTTCGGCTTTCCGACGGCCCAAGAGGCTCCCAAGATCGCTCCAAGAGGCCTCCAAAATGGCCCCATGACGGCCCATGACGCCCCCAAGACCGCCCCAAGAGGGCCCGAAGACGGCCCAAGAGGCCTCCAAGACGCCCAACATGGCCTCCAAGACGGCCCTGGAGCACCCCGGCCCCACGTCGGCCCAGAAAGGCCCCAGAAACGGCTTCCGACGGCGTCAGACGGGCCAGGAGCCCACCAAGATGGCCGAAGGTGGCTCGCAGCTGGCCCAAGACGGCCCAAGAGGCCTCCAGGAAGGCCAGAGAAGGCCAAAAAGAGTGATTTGCCGTAGTTTTTTGAAGGATTTTGACATTTGCTTCGTTTCGGCCTTCCGACGGCCCGATACGGCCCAATAGCTCTCAAAGATCGCCCGAGGATCGCCCAAGAGGCCTCCAAGATGGCCCCAGAACGGCCCAAGAGGCGCCCAAGACGCCCCCAAGAGGCCCCCAAGCCGGCCCAGGAGGCCTCGACGACGCTCAAGAGGGCCTCCAAGACGGCCCACGAGCCCTCCAAGACGTCCTCCAAGAAGGCCCGAAAGGGTCAAAATGGCCTCCAGGCGGCTAAGATTACCTTCCAGATGCCCACGTGTTCCCCGAAGGCTTTCCAAACCGATTCGGGGAACACATGGTCCGATAGCTTGGCAGGTCTGGCCTCAACGTTCGGCCACATAGGCGCTTCCACAAAGGCAGGGGGCGGCGGTGATTCGCCGTACAGGCGTCTTCGATCCGCCGCCCCCTGTCGATTCATCGCAGGGGTGCCTGGCGTGCTAAATTGTTTCGGTTTTGGTTTTGGTTCTTTTTCGAAAAGAACTCCCCCTGGGGCTTCGGCCCGTCCCGCTGGGGTGCCGGGAGGATTGCCCAGGACCTCAATTCCGGAAAAAATCCTCCAAGATGGCCCAAGATGGCCTCCAAGATGGCCACGTTGGCCCCAAGATGGCCTCCAAGTCCGCCCAAGATGGTCCAAGACGGCCCCCAAGATGGCCCAAGAGAGTCCAAGATACCTCCACGTTCGCCCAAGAGGCCTCCAAGACGGCCCAAGACGACCCAAGAGGCCTCCAAGAGGTCCTCAAGGAGGGCCCGAAGAGGCCAAGATCATTGATTTTCCCTAGGGTTTTGAAGGACATTTGCATTTGCTTCTTTTCGGCCTTCCGACGGCTCAAGACGGCCCAAGAGGCCCCCAAGATCGCTCCAAGATCGCCCAAGAGGCCTCCAAGATGGCCCCATGACGGCCCATGCCGCCCCAAAGACCGCCCCAAGAGGGCCCGAAGACGGCCCAAGAGGCCTCCAAGACGCCCAAAATGGCCTCCAAGACGGCCCCGAAGCGCCCCAAGAGGGCCCCAAGCCCGTTCAGAGAGGCCCCAAAGACTGCTCCCGACGGCGTCAGACGGGCCAGGAGCCCACCAAGATGGCCGAAGTTGGCTCGAAGCTGGCCCAAGACGGCCCAAGAGGCCTCCAAGAGGGCCTCCAGGACGGCAAGAAAAGGCCCAAAACACTGATTTTCCGCATGTTTTTGCATAATTTTGGCATGTACTTCTTTTCGGCCTTCCGACGGCCCGAGACGGCCCAAGAGCACCCACAGATCGCCCAAATATCGCCTAATAGGCCTCCCAAATGGCCCCAGAACGGCCCAAGAGGCCCCCAAGACGACCCCAAGAGGCCCCCAAGACGGCCCAGGAGGCCTTTAAGACGCCCAAGATGGCCTCCAAAACGGCCCTGGAGCATTCCAAGAGAGCCCCAAGTCGGCCCAGAGAGGCGCGCCAAACGGCTTCCGACGGCGTCAGACGCCAGGAGCCCACCAAGATAGCCGAAGTTGGTTCGAAGCTGGCCCAAGACGGCCCAAGAGGCCTCCAAGAGGGCCTCCAGGAAGGCCCGAAAAGGCCAAACTCATGGTTTTCCCCTGAGGTTTTGCAGGATTGGTGGCACTTGCATTTTTGTCGGCCTTTCGACGACCCGAGACGGCCCAAGTACCCCCAAAGATCGCCCAAGAGGCCCAAGAGGCCCAAGACGGCCCCAAGAGGCCCCCAAGACGGCCCAAGAGGCCTCCACGACGCTCAAGAGGGCCTTCAAGACGGCCCAAGAGCCCTCCAATACGTCCTCCAAGAAGGCCCGAAAGGGTCAACATGGCCTCCAGACGGCCAAGATGACCTTCCAGATGCCCACGTGTTCCCCGAAGGCTTTCCAAACCGATTCGGGGATGGCAGGTCTGGCCTCAACGTTCGGCCACATAGGCGGCCCCAAAAAGACAGGGGGCGGCGGTGATTCGCCGTAGGCATCTTCGATCAGCCGTCCCCTGTTGGCTTGCCACAAGGGTGCCCGGCGTGCTAGACCCTTTCGGTTTTGGTTTTGGTTCTTTTTCCAATAGAGCTCTCCCTGGGGCTTCGGCCCGTCCCGCCGGCCACCTGGAAAGATCTTCCAGCTTGCCCAGAGGTGGTTGCCAAGGGTTTTCCCTGCTCCAGACGGCTCCAAGACGGCCCAAGATGGCCTCCAAGACACCTCCAAGACGGCCAACATGGCCTCCAAGACGGTTCGGATGGCCCCAAGATGCCTCAAAGATGGCCCAAGATGCCTCCAAGACGGCCTAAGATAGCCTCAAGATGGTTCAAGACGGCCCAAGAGGCCCCCAAGAGCCCCCCCAAGACGCCCCCAAGAGGTCCTCAAGGAGAGCCCGAAGAGGCCAACATCATTTGTTTTCCTAGGGTTTTTGAAGGATTTTGGCGCTTGCTTCTTTTCGACCTTCCGAAGACCTCAAGACGGCCCAAGAGGCCCCCAAGATCGCCCCAAGATCAAACCACGAGGCCTCCGAGATGGCCCCATGACGGCCCAAGAAGCCCCCAAGAAGGCCCCAAGAGGGCCCCAAGACGTCCCAAGAGGCCTCCAAGACGGCCAAGCTGGCCTCCAAGACGGACCGAAGCGCCCCAAGAGGGCCCCAAGTCGGTTCAGAGAGGCCCTCAAGACGGCTCCCGACGGCGTCAGACGGGCCAGGAACGCCATACGACGGCCCAAGAAGCCACCGAGAAGCCCCAAAATGACCCCATGAGGCCCTCAAGAGGCCCCAAGAGAGCCCAAGACAGCCCCAACATGGTCTCCAAGACGGTCCCAAGATGGCCCAAGCGAGCCCAAGAGTGCCTCAAGAAGCTCCGAAGAGGCATCCTCCCCCTTCTCCTTTTTCCTTCTTCTCCTCCTCCTCCCCTTCCTCCCCCCCGCGTTCCCCGAAACCTTGCCAAACCGACTCGGGGAACACATGGTCCGATAGCTTGGCCAAGGTCTAGCCCAGCTGTCGGACACATAGGCGCTTCCACACGGGCAGGGTGCGGCGGTGATTTGCCGTAGGCGTCTTCGATTAGCTATTTTCTCTCTGCAGGCCAGGGTGTCCCAGACGACCTTGATCCCCGAAGTGATCATATTGCGTAATGCGCAATCAAGAAGGCGGACTTCGTGCATAGGACGAGGGAGAGAAGGGGGAGGAGGGAGTGGATGAACAGGAGGATGAGGGAAGGAGGAGGGGGAGGGAGAGAAGCAAGAGTAGGAGGAGCAGGAAGACCAGGGTAAGGCGGATGAGGGGATCTGATCTGGACGGTAACGACGAGGAAGAATCGGATCCAGAAATGTGGCCCACAATGGGGCGAGAGCGCAACTATCAACGACGGAAGCAAAGCGCAGATCCTGAAATTCGGCCAACGACGCTGCAGCGAGAGCCACAGGTTTGAAGGACCGAACACGGGCCGATCGAACAAGACAGATGATATACTCGAGATATGCCCCCCCCAACAGTGGACAGTATCAGAGGAGAGTGGAGAGTAGTATTCATAGTGTGTAGAACGGACAAGGGAGACAACTACTAATGTTTAGGAGAGGAATTACAACGTGTAGGATACTGAAGGGGGATGTATGGGGAGGAAGGAGGGGAAGGGGGAGGCGGAGGAGGTTGCTGCTCTTCCTCCTCCTGCCTCCTCTTCCCTCCCCCTCCTCCCCCTGACGGACTGGGACACATGGGAATGGTAGGAGGCGAAGCAAGTTCGAAGATCAGCCCTCTATCACTGTTGACTAGCAGTTGGACGGGCGGGTGACTTCGTGCACTTTCGGGTCCGTCTGGCCCGCTTTTTCCTCCTAGTCACCCCACATCTTCTGGACGAGTTCTCAGAAGCGCGAGAACTTCTGTCGGGCCTGGCTCTCCGGGTGGTGGTGGCTGCGGGCACGGACAGGCACCGCTACTTAGTAACAGTCGCCAACGTAATCCCATGCCTCTCCCCTACCCCCTCTCTGCCGCTCCCCCCCCTTCTCCTCCTCCTCCTCCTCCTCCTCCTCCTCCTCCTCCTCCTCCTCCTCCTCCTCCTCCTCCCCCTAACGTTGCCCTTGACCTCCCCCCCCTCCTGTGCGCTCCCCTGGACGCATGAAAGAAACGGCACGCCTCTGCGACGGCGAGCATCTGGGGCCGCGCGCAGGCGCAGCCTGTGGCGGCCCATGCCGTCCAGCGGCGGCGGGGGCCGCGAGAGCCAACAGGGGCTCCCAACTTCGCGCTTCGCGCTGCGTGAAGCGCGAATAACTTCGCGCTCTCGCGCCGCCTCCCGGGGGAGAAGTGGAGGCTGAGGAGGAGTCGGAGCCGAACCACGAAGCGCGAACAACTTCGCGCCCTCGAGGGCGCCCTTGGCCAAGGGGGGGCGCACTCGGCGCACTGCCAGCGCTCGGATGCAGTCGTCGTGGTGCCACTCAGAACGCCCGACGAAGGAGGAGGAGGAGGAGGAGGAGGAGGAGGAGGAGGAGGAGGAGGAGGGGGAGGGGGAGGAGGGGGAGGGGGAGGGGGAGGGGGAGGGGAAGGGGAGGAGGAGGAGAAGGAGGAGGAGGAGGAGGAGGAGGAGGAGGAGGAGGAGGAGGAGGAGGAGGAGGAAGAGAGGAGCAGAACGGCCTCTCCAGACCCTGGCCGCGACCAGGCACCCCGACCTGGATCCAACGAGCGGCCTACGAGCCCGAGCCCCCTCCCGGGTCCACCGTGGCCCTTGCGTCCGCGGCTTGGCCGTGCGGGATCGGCAGAGAGGGGAGCCGCCCGCCTCCACGGAGGCGGCGGAGGCGGTCCGAGGCCGTCCTCGGCAGTGCCCCGGCCAGAGCCACCGCTCTCGCGCTCCCAGTGCGTCGGGCGGGAGGCTCTGGCCCAGCCGGGCCGTTTCCAGATCAGCGCCTGGCGCTGCGGCATCTTGTTCAAATCCTGCTGGATGTCGCTCTCCAGGCGGCCCTTCGGCGATGCTCCGGGGCTCGCCTCTGCGTCCCTCGCGTCCACGGGGCGGAGCAGAGCTGGGCGGGTGTCCCTGCTCTGCGCGGTGGGTGCTCGCGTGGGACTGTCTGGCAATGTATTCAGACGCCGCGCCCTCGACACTCAGGAATTACGCTCTCGCTGTGGGTTCCTTACGAGTTATTTGGGAATCGAGCTATCGCTCGAGACTTCCTCGCGATTCATGCGCGACGCACGCTTCAACAACCCGCCTGCCCCTTGTCCCTTCCTTCCATCCGTCCTCTGATCCCCTGCCTTCGGGGCTGCACGAAATACGCGTTGCAGGTATGTAAGACAGATGTACCCCTAAAGGGGTGCGATGGAAGACGAAGAAGGCGGGTATCGAGGGTTTTGGATATACGTGCTGATTGGCACTCGAGCACATAAGAACGAACAACCTTAAACTGTTTGTTGTAATTGCTGTTGTTGTTGTTGTTCTTGTTGCTGCTGTCGTCGTCCCGCGAACCGCCCAACGACCCACCCGCGGCCCGTTGGGCCCGCGACCCACCCGCTCCGCGACACACCCGCGCCGCGACCCCCACGCGACAAACCCTCGCCGTAACTCGCCCGCGACCCGCCCACACCGCGATCCACTCAAACTGATTGTTGATATCAAACCTGATTGGCGCCGCGGCGGGTGATTTACATTGTGCTATTCAGCCCGCAGGGCCCGCCGACGACACGCCCTGGGACCCACTCGCATCGATTTGAACCGCAAACTTGGCGTATGCGGTGGACCCACAGTACTTCAAGAGTGTTCGCCTGCGGCGGGCTTGTCGTGCAACGGGGCTTCAAAAACGGCAGGTGTCTACGGAGGGCTTCTCCGCACGAACTTTCGAGCCTCGCAGACTGCCGGCAACCCGCCCTCGCCCCTCGCCCTTGCCCGCAGCTGCAGGGGCCGTGATGATTTGGGCCGCGGGCCCGCACAGCCGTGCCCGCAACCCGCACGCGCGTCCGCAGCCTGGCATCACATTTCGGGCCGCAGGCACCCGCAGCCTCGCCCGCAACCGTATCCGCAGCCAGGCCGGCCAAGCCTTCTGGGCTGGGGTCACCTGCACTCGCAGCCGCAGCCGCGCGCGCAACCGCACCCGCAACGCACACAACCGGGCAACACTCGATGTGGGCCGCGGGCACCCGTAACCGCGTCCACTACAGTCAACCCGGATAGTAAGGATGCGCGATAAGGATGCAAGGGCCGTGGACGCCCATTACGAAGCGTTTCGAGCGGGGCGCGGCCAACGAAAGTGTCCACGGATGGACCCAGGAGGCAAGGATGCAAGGGTACCCTTGGGAAGGATGCCTATCCTTACTATGCGGGTCGACTGTAATGCATCCGCTAGCGCAGCTGGCCAACAATTTTCGTGCCGCATACACCCGCATGCACATCCGCAGCCGCGCGCTGCTCACCTTCGATCCTCACCGTCATCACTATCATCGCCATCGGCGTATCGTCATATCCCTCCACGCCCGTACCCGCGGCACCATTGTCGTCACCATCACCATTGCCATCGCCGCCGTCGCTTCCACAAGGGTCACTCCCATCATAAGCATGTCTACTATCTTCATTGTTCTTCGTTGCCGCTGTAAGCGGCACTTGGGCTTTGTCAGCGGATCTCCGCGGAGACAATGCAGCGGGAATCCGCATTCCACGCTGCTGCCTTTGATTATTGGTGAAGCCGCCGTGCAACTGTCCTTCTCTCCCTCCCCCCTCCTCCCCTCCCGTCGATGACGCGAAAAAAAAACACGACTTCGACGCCGAAGAAGACATGGTCGCCGACGCGGATGCCGACGATGACACGAACGACGACGCGGACGACAACGACGACGACGCCGATGACGATCGTGGCGAGGGGCGCGCGTCCTGTCCGCGGCTGTCAGGGCACGTGCGCAGCCAGCCAGCAGCTTCCAGGGCTCGAGGCTGGGCCGGCCAGCGAGGGACGGCGGGGGGACGACGAAGGGGAGGGCGAGGAGGAGGAGGGCTCCGCCCACTGCAGCTCCTCCTCCTCCTCCTCCTCCTGCTCCTCGTCTTCGTCCTCCTCTTCGTCAACATCATCAACACCATCGTCATCACCACCACCATACGCACACTCGTCATTATCGCTATCACGTCTACCATCACCGTCATCACCGTCGTTATCATTACCATCGTGGCCGTTCTCCCCCGCATAATCCTCGTCACCGACATGATTTACATCATGAATCATGCCCATCCCCCTCCTACACTACCCCTTCATCTCCCCATCCTCTTCCCCTCCTATCCACCTCGTCCTCTCCCGTCCGCTTCGCCGTCGCCGTTGTCCTCCCCCAGCGAGGAGCCTATTCTCCCTCCTTCTCTTCCACCTCCTCCTCCTCGTCCTCCTCCTCGTCCTCCTCCCCTTCCTCCCCCTCAACCACCTCTCCTCTCCTCTCCGCTTCCTCCTTTTCCTCCTCCTCCTCTTCCTCCTGCTCCTCCGTCTTCTGTCCTCCTCTGTCGTCATTCTCTTCCCCCTCCACCTGCTTCGGCCCGCTCCCCCAATAAGTACGCAGGAACGGGAGGGACGGTGGAGGATAAAGAGGAAGCGGTGGAGGAGGAGGCGGAGGAGGTTGTGGAAATGCGGAACTTCCGAGGCCTCTCGAGACCAAGAGAATGGAAACCACATCCCACACTCTCGATCCTCGGCCATCGAGGAGGAAGAAAAGGAATTTATCCAAACGCGACTGCATGCGTGCGCGGCGACACGACAAACCCAAATACACCCCGACAAGAAACACATGGGCCCGAACACCTTCCGCACGGGAGTGCCAGCGGGCAGGGGCACGAAACCAAGGCCCCTCGGTGTGCTCGTCCTCCACCGCCAGAGCGTCGCACAGGGCGTCGAGGACGAACTCGCCGAATGGCCGCGGCTTCAGCTGCCCCCGCTTGGCGGCCTGCAGCGGCAGGCCCGCGCGAGGGTGGGAGCCCGCCCCACCGCGGTAAGGGAACGCCAGCAGCTGCGCATTCGAGCTCGAATGGCCTCCGCAACGGGCGGAGAAACCAAACCACCTCACGGTCCATACCAGATGGCCTCCTCCAAGGGCGCACTCGGCAAGGGCAAAGGCGTCGCTTGCACGCGCGACGCGGAAGCAACGGGCGCATCTGAAGCCCGTGTCACACGGCGCGGGCTCATGTGGGCCAAGCGGCGGCACCGTGTCCGCCGTCAAGGCAAAGATCCGTCCCCGCTGCTTCGCACCCCGCAGGTGGCCGTGTCTCGGCACAGCCTGCGCCCCGTGGCCTGCGTGGTGCGGGCCAGGAACCTCGCCGCTCAAGCGGCGAGGTTGGAAGTGCGCGTGACGCGCCCGCGCGCGCGCGCCCTGGTCGGCAAAGTGATTGCCCCAGCGTTCGGCAGCGCCCCGCTCAACGTCGCCATCCTGGCAGCGGCGGGCGCGGCCTTTAACCTTGATGCCTCGACCCCCCCAGTCGTCCACCCGATCCCAAACCCGCTTCCGCAAGTCGGCGGCCTCGCATTGTGCGCCCGTAACCTCAGCTCGGCCGCCCGCTAAGCTCGAGACTACCCAATCGCAGTCGGACCAGAGGCGGGAGGGCCAGAGCGAAACGTGCGTGCGATACATCAGCAGGACGAGCGCCTCGGCCACGTCGGAAGCCTGGTGCGGGCCAGGCAGACGGCCGCGCAAGGGCTACGGGAGGGCGCCCGTCTCGTCTGCCTGCGCGACACCCCGCCCTGCGCGGCGGGGGCGTGCATCGCGCTGTGCAGGTGCCATGCGTGAGCCGTCGCCGAAGGCCTCGACTTCTCGGGCGCCGTCAGCAGGCCGCTCGAGCGACGAGGAGGGGGGCGGTGCCTCCAGAGAGCCCAGGTGGAACGCTCCCCTAGGTCGGAGCGGAGGGAGGGGGGGGGGGGGGCGTAGTTCCGAACGTCGTCCCAGGTGGCGGCGCACTGGCCCGAGACCCAAGCAGAAACAACTATCAAGGCACGCGCCGTCCTGGCCGCGCACGAGGCAAGTCGGGTCGGTCGCGGGACCATGCCGATGTTTCCGAGCCTGATCCCCAATTCCATTCTACACAAAAGCGCGGAAACAAGCCTGATGCTGCGGAATCTAGTCGGTGCCCCGAGCCCCGGCGCAGAGGCGGCGGAGGGGGGGAGGTGGGGGCGATGGGGGGGGCCCGATATGAACTCGCTCTGCCGCTGTGCTCGGTCCAGCAGCCAATCTTCAATGAGCTGGCGCGCTGAGTGCCAGACAGTGCGGGGGCACACCGCAGGGAGGTCTAACTGATGGCCGTCCTGGGTAACGAGAGCGCGCGCCACAGGGCCGAGCTTCCACCCGATCCCACGGCAGCAGGCGACAACAACAGAGATCGGGCCGCGGACCAGGGCCCAGCCGCTTTTTTAAACCAGGGTGCTCCGAGAAAAAACAGAATCCACGACGAAAAGCAACCTCGCAATCGAATCCCAGGGGGTCCAGGAGGTCCACGCCGCCTGGGCCAACGCGTGAATCGGTCCCGCGGTGCAGGCGACAGCGGGCCCGACAGGCCAGGGAGCAGCCAGCGAGAGATGGAGGTCGAGGGAGAACAGTATGAACGACAAGGGCCGAGTGCGCCGCGCGGCGCATCGGCTCGATCCCACTCCGCGCCCGTCCCGCCTCCCCGTCCCCCCGCGTCCCCGCTTTGGTCAGTCCACGGCTGACCAGCTGGCGAAAATTCCCTCGGGCCGATCTGAACACGCGGATGCGTGCCGCGCGACTCACGACCGTCGCGGCGCGCTTGGCCCGCGTGGCCACCCCAGAGCGCCTGCCGCGGCCGGAGTCCACGCCCAGGTTTCGCGCCGACCTGCGCGGCTTCCCCCGCAGCGCCGCGCGGCGCCGCATGACCTCGCGGCCCCGGGCGGCGTCGCTGGCGAGCACCGCGCCCTTGCCGTCGTTGGCCGCGAGGCCGTCCGCGATCAGGCCGCGGCGCAGCTTGGCGTGGGCCGAGCCGACGTGAGCGGGCGCCCGCTTGGTCAAGCCTGTCTTGCCAAGCTGGACATCGTCCACCATATTGCCGAGGTCCACCGTGCCAAGCGGGGTCGTCGAGCCGCGGGTCAAGGAGGATGCTCGTGCAGAAGTGCGCGAAGCTGCTTCCCGCGGCGCAAAGCAGGATGAGGACCCGCAGCAGCACCGTGTTGAAGCCCAGGTCCCGAGGGCGCTGGGCCGGAAGCGCCCAGGGGATGTGCTGGCGCGCCTTCGACGGGTTCATGAGCACAGGTCAGGCCGCCTGCTTGCGGTGGGCCCGGTGGGTCGCCAGTTCCGCGTCGGCTGCCTGGGCTCAGACGCAAGTCTCGTAGCTCTGGCCCGATGTGCCGAATGTGTAGTCGCGTTGGTGGCGCGTGACCCAGGCGGCGCCCTTCGTCTCGCGTGTCCAGCGCGTGAAGGGCCGCGGCGCGCCAGGGAAGAGGCCGATGGTGCGGGCGCCGCCCTCGGCCTTGGGGGTGCGGGACATCGGCGGCATGGCCGGTGCCCGCGGCGCGTGGCCCAGGTCTAGCATGTGGCCGCGCGCGCAGATGAGGGCTTGCAGGGCTCCGTCCGACAGGGCGGCGACGTGGCGCGGGTGGAAGGCGTCCTCGCCCAAGACCGCGGCGCGCGGGAAGGAGTGGCCGACGCGGCGCAGGCTCGCCGAGGTCCGCTGGCCAGCGGACGGCTGCGAGCCCGGCGCCCTCGCCCCAGAGCGCGTGCCAGGGGCGGGCGGCGGCCTCCGCCGCCTGCCGCCGAGGGGGGCCAGCGCGCCGCCGACCAGGGCGCGGGCCCGCGGATCCAGCAGAAGCCCTTCCGCGTGCTCTCAGGAAAGGTGGCCTCGCGCGCCCAGTCCAACCGTGGCTTGTGGCGCCCGTGGGAGGCGCGCCCCTCGGCCGCGTTCGCCGCGACGTGGAGGTCAGCCGCCAGCTGGTTGAGGCTGGCCTCGCTGAGGTGCTGGAGGTGGCGCGCCAGTCGGCGGCGGGTCTGCCGCGGCTGCTGCTGCGAGCCCTGCGCGGGGGGCTAGCAGCGGAGCGGCGTGGCCTGTAGCTGGCGCGCGCGGGTCGTGCCGCCTGCCCGCCGCGGGGCGCGCCGCTCGCGGATGGCGCTCCTGCAGCCAGCCGCAGTGCACTTCGGCGGCGTCGGGCCTGGCCGCGGGCTGCCAGTGGGCGCGGTCTGTCCATCTGCGTCTGGGCCAGGCGCGAGCACTCCCTCCGTCCGCGGTGGCGGACCTCGTCGCGCGGGCTCAGGAGGTCGAAGTGCAGGGCGAGCTCGTCCTTGTAGCGGCCCAGCACGCGGCCGCAGGCAGCCTCCAGGCATGCAGCGGCGGAGACGGTGCCGAGGTCGCCCAGCACGTCCACCCAGTCGGGCCCAGGCTGCCGCGGACCGATCCGCCCCCGCGCAGGAAACGCCTTGTGCCGCCGCGCGCGAGTAATTCGGCTGCCAGGCCGGGGCAACACTGGGCGCGATGTCGCGGCGCGATTCGTCTCAACTGCGAATCGCTCGCAGCGGCGGACATCGCAGATGGGCGAGTCCTGATCGACGCAGAAGGAGTCGATCTCACTGGCCGAGGTCGGCCCGACGCTGGTGGCGTGGCCTGAGCAGGCCGAGCGCGCGACCGAGGGCGGCGGCAAGTGCGCGTCGTCGACTGCGTCGGGCAGCGTGATCCGGTCAGCTCCGATCACGAAGGGGCGGTGCATGGCTCTAACCGCGGAGCCCATGTAGGTGGGCATGTCGAGGTTGTGGTCGCTGTGGTCCTGGCTGGCGTGGAAATGCGCCGACGCGAGCAGGGTGCCCTCAGAGGGGCCGAGGGGGGTCATCCAGAAGCCGATGCGGGGCGGGCAGCGTGCGGAGATGCGCTCGTCGGCGAACTCAACCCTCTTGATGAGGGTGGGCCCAGGGCCGCGCCGCAGTGCCCGCGCCTGCCGACGGGCCGCCCTCCGCCGTGGTCATGTCGGGGATGAAGTCGGCAACCCAGCCGACGCCCTTGGTGGCGCGGACCGCGGCGGCCAGCTGGAGGTCCTCCGTGGTGCGGCGCTCCTGGGTGAGGATGGTCTGGGTGGGGCCGTCGACGTTGTCCAACTCCAGCTCCCCGAGGCACGTGCCCCACCTGGTGGCGTTCGCCGTCGTGGTGTCCACGAAGTCGCTGCCGGACTTCTAGGCCCCGCGGGCCGCGCGGCGGCGGCGCCGCGCCGAGGCGGTCCCGGGCGCCAGGCCCGCGAGAAAACAGCGGGCTGCCCATGGCCAGCAGGAAGAGGCCGACGCCCCGCAGGTCTCCGAAGCTCGCGTGGCCGAGCGGGATCATCGGCAGGTGCCCGAAATCCAGGGGGCGAAGTCGCCGAGCGAGAAGGCGGCGACCCGGGAGTCCCAGTGCATGGCCCGAGCCCACTTCGAGGTGCCCTCCTCTGATGGGGGCAGGGAATGGCGCCGTGGGGGGGCATGGTCCCGCGCGCGGGAGCCAGGTCAGCGGCCGAGCCTGCAGCCTCTAAGGGCGATGGGGGGCAGGCGGCGCTGCAGTCGATGTCCAGGCTGGAAGCGGCGACGTCGCCCCAACTAACGTCGCCGATGTCCGTGTGCTGGTCGTGGGGCCCTGCTGCCAGGAGGTGCTCGCGCAGCTCGTGGAGCCACTCCTCGGGGGACCGCGCGCGCAGGTGGTCCAACCAAACCCTGTACCTCTGGCGCGCCCTATGACGCCTGCTGAAAGCAGCGCGGCAGATCTCGATCGCCATGTCGACCTGCGAAATGGCCAAGTTGTTGTGGCCGTCTTGAGTTGCCCTCTCGCGGACCAAGATGTCGAAGTGCGGGTTGGCGAGGTACCTGGCCACATACGGGACACAATGCTGGCGCCAATGCGACCTGTGCATCGCATCGTCGTCCACGGTCGGGTCCTCCATCCAAGGTCCCGTCCACGTGCGCAAGGAGTCCTCAGGTCTTCAATCATCTGCTTCGCGTGCTGGCGCGTGGGGTCGGCGTGAATTGCAGAGGGCTCGAACTCACCCACCGAATACACCAGGAACTCGGGCTGCTGGGCGGGCGTTGCCTCCGTCGCCGCCAACGCCTGGGGCCTCGCGCCGCAGCGGCCCGCGAAGGGGGGCGCCGCGCCCGCGGCTCGAAGGGCGCCTCGGGCCGCCTGCAGCTCCGCCAGCGCCAGGAGCAACGGGACCAGTAGCAAACACCAGCGGCCGCTTGCAGTGGCAAGACCACTGCCACCACGCCTCGTGCTTGCGACACCCGCAGTGCTGGCAGGCGGACCGCGGGCCGTCGCCGCCGCTGCTTGGGGCCGCCATGCTGCCCTGCGGGCCGCGCGGCGCTGCGGAGCCGTGGTGCCCGTCCAAGCGCTTTGCCGCGGCCTTCAAACGCAACCGCTGGCGGGGTGAAGGCGACCCGCGCCACGCGCGCAGCAAGGCCCGCGCCGAGGCGCGCTCGCGGCGGAGACGCCGATGCCATGCCGCCTCCGAAGGCAGCGCGATGGTCTCCGCCCGAAGGGAGCCTGCGGGGGCCTGTCCGCCCCCAGGCCGTCCGGCAGGAAACTTGAGCCAAAATGGCTACGGAGAGGAAGAGGAGAAGAAAGAGGATAACGAGGGGAGAAGGAGGAGAAGGAGGAGGGGGAGAGGAGGCGGAGGAGTTTGTCTATGCCTCACTCTTCCCCAATTCCAGCTTCTGTTCTCCTCCATTGGTGTAGTGCCTGACTGCCGCACCACCCTCGCAAGCAAAACGAACGGCGGGCGGGCGGGTGAACGCCAGCCCCCGGTAGCCTGAGCTGAGGGATGGCTGACGGCGTATCGGGCGAAGGGGGGAACCACCTGGGACGTCTGGGGAACACCTGCTGGAAAAAGGGCACGAGGAAAGGGCAGGGCAGGACTGCTCGGTGGTGCCCCCCCTTCATCCTCCTCGTCCTCCTTCTCCTCCTCCTCCTCCTCCTCCTTCTCAGCTATTTCTCCTCCTCCTCCTCCTCCTCCTCCTTCTCCTCCTCCTCCTCCTCCTCCCCCTTCTTCTTCTTCTTCTCCCCCCCTCCTCTTCCTTCTCCTCCTCCCCCCTCTCCCACCGCTGCGCGCAGGGGCCTCCAGGGCAGCCCCTGCAGCAGCAGCGTCCTCTTCAGCTGCACGTTCTGCGGGTAGGCCGGGCGCGTGACCACCTGCGGGCGGGCGAGCAGGACTGCAGGAAGTGTGCAGGCGCTTCAAGGGAAGCGGACGCGGAAACGCACTGTGACCGGACAGAGACCGACCCGCGAGAGGTGGAGTGCTGGAGGCAGGAGCTTAGGGGGGCTTGGACATTAACCCATCGCGTCCAGCGATCAAGAGGATGTTGTGTGTTGGCAGGTGTCGGACGGAATCGTGCCGCGTGGCGACCTGCAGCTCACTGGGGCGTGGACTCGAACATGCCACCCTTCACCATGGCATCACACTTGGATCCCCATGCCTGTTTATCCTGGGCGGCTTCTTGCCACGACGTGTTTTGGTAAAGCGCGTGCACCTTCGGCTCCCATCTCCACACATGGAGTTTGCGTCCATGCTTTTGGTGACCACCGTCTGCTGTAGTCCTGTTTGTTTCCAGTGCAAGTCTCGGAGGGGGGCGACGAGTATTAACTGGAGGAGGAGGAGGAATAGGCGGAGGATGAGGTGAATAGGAGGAAGAGGAAGAAGAGGAGAAACAGGAAGCAGGGAGGAGAGCGAGAAGACGGATAACGATGATCAGTGGGAGTAGAGAGAGTCAGAACACAAGGAGGATGAAGAGGAATGTACGACGAGAGAGATAACTAGGAAGAGACGGATAACGATGAAGAGGAAGGTGGGAAAGAGGGAAGAGAAGGATGTGAATGTGGGAGGGCGGCGATGGGCGGGATGGGGACAGTGCGGCAAGGGGTGGGTGGGTGGGGGGGGCGGGTAGGACAGGAGGCACGGGGGATCATGGAAGAAAAGGTGAGGATGGGGGGAAGTGTAAAGGAAAGGAGCGGAGGACAAAAGGGAGGGGAAACGGACGGGGAAGGGTCGTTGATTTCATGACTGGACGAAATGGCGGGGACGGGGACTACTATAACAATAGAACGAGGACGGCACGGGGCAATCACGCTACGGAATTGCATAACGCTATATGTTGTTACACATATATATATATATATTCATATATATATATATATATATATATATTCATACATACATACAATACAAATGTGTCGTCACACATGCGCGCGATGCATACATGTATATCTATATACACATATATACCGCTATGTGCACATCCATGTTTACACGTGTACACATCGATATACGTACACGTTACCCTACGTATGCATCTGTACACATGTAAAAGGGGGAGGGGGGGCGGTGCGCGATACATGCATACACGTGTTTACGTACGAACAGAGGGAGAGAGAGAGAGAGAGAGAGGGAGAAAGAGAGAGAGAGAGAGAGAGAGAGAGAGAGAGAGCGAGTGCGCAGGCGAGCGAGCGAGCGAGCGAGCGAGCGAGAGAGAGAGAGAGAGAGAGCGGAAGAGAGAGAGCGATAACGAGCGAAAGTGTGTGTGAGAGAGAGAGAGAGAGGGGGGGGGGGGGGGGAGAGAGCGAGCGCGAGAGAAAGAGAGAGAGAGAGAGAGAGAGAGAGAGAGAACGAGAGAACACGACAGCGAGGCTGCGAAAGAGAAGGAGAGAAAGAGCGAGAAAGAGAGAGAGAGAGAGAGATAGAGCGAGCGGGAGAGAGAAACAGGGGGAGCACGCGAGCGAGAACAAGAGAGAACGGGATAGAGAGAGAAAGAGACAACTGACACAGTTATACACATACGTCTGTATATACACTCCATGTATACACATTTGGAGGGGGGGAGAGAGAGAGAGAGAGAGAGAGAAATAGAGAGAGTGAGAGATAGAGAGAGAGAGAGAGAGAGAACGAGAGAGTGAGAGAGAAGGGGAGACAGAGAGAACCAGAGAGAGGGAGAGAGACAGAGAGAGAGAGAGAGAGAACGAGAAAGAGAGAGAGAGAGACACGGAGAGATACGGACAGAGGACACGACAGATAGAGAGAGGGAGCGATAGAGAGAGAGAGAGAGAGCGAAAGAGAACTGGAGGGAGAGAGGGAGAGAGGGATAGAGACAGAGGTACTGATCATACATATAGAGAGCGGGAGAGAGAGAGAGAGAGAGATAAAGAGAGAGAGAGAGAGAAAGAGAGAGAGAGAGAGAGAGAGCGAAAGAGAGAAGGAGAGAGCGAACGATATAGAGAGATATAAGAAGAGAAAGAGAGATAACGAGAGAGAGAGAGAGAAAAAAACATATAGAAGGAGAGATAACGGTACACAGGGAGATCGTGTGTTTGATAGATGCATTTGTATACGTCGGCATACAATGGAAACACATACAGTAACACGGTACCGCATACACATGTCTAGCTTGTATGTGTAGGCGTATACAGATATGGCTGCACACATTTACGCTCATGTATAGCAAAACGTATGATCACACGCTGTCTGTCCATTTGGAGACAGGCACGTGTATGTGCATTGATTTGCGCACATCTTTATAAAGACACGTGTAGAACACATTGAGATACATCAACCTGTGTATAATGATACGCCGTCAGAACCGACATGAAACGCGATGTGCCTCACTATCAATTGGGTGATGGGGGAGGGGTGGCGCCATATGCATGCGATGAAATTGCGTACATGCAGGCACACCGGCTTTCGAAACTATGTGGATGTGTGGGAATGTGCGTGTGTGGACATACACACATCTGTATATACACATATAGGTATTCACATACTTTTATATGTATGAATACATGTATATTATATACATACACAGAGGGATGGGAGGGTGGGCGGTACACATATTTATATTTATACACGGGCTCATAACAATAGAGGGATACACATGTATGTATGTTGGACTCTATATAAAACAGCGGGATGGGAGGGTGGGCGGTCTACTTACTTATACTTATACGCGCATGTCTATAACAGTAAAACGAGATCTATGGTGATCTGTATCTAGAGAGAGAGAGAGAGAAACAAAAAAAAACAAACAGCACAACACAGAGAGAGAGAGAGAGACACAACGAGAGAGACATAGAGAGACAGAGAGAGAGAGAGCTACACTGACGTATGATACACGGGTGCCGAGGACTACGTTTTACGTAGACATATGACCAAGGATTGCCGAATTGATTCTGCGAGGCGCAGGGATAGTGAGACCGGAAGTCATGTGTACAAGCAGCCATACTAATACACTGGGTACAGACATACATAGACATCTGATCCAGCTAGACCTTCGGCCCGCTGGGGGCCACTGGGTCCCAAGCGCGCCTGGAGGGCCCAAGACGGCTCCTGATGGCTCCCAGAGGGCCCGAAGCTGGGCCAAGAGGGCTACACGACGCCCACGATGGCCCTAAGACAGTCCCAGAGGCCCCGTTTTCGCCCCGAGGCACCCCAAGAGGCCTCCCCAGGGAGCCCCAAGAGGCCAACATCGCCCAAGTCCCTTCGTAAAGCTACATTTTCATCATCGGCAGCTTCTCGCCTTCCCGACGCTCCAAGACGACCCAAAACGCCACAAGACGGCCCAAGAGGCACTCAAGAGGCCCCCACGACGACCCAAGAGGGCCCTAAGACGGCCCAAGAGGCGCCCAAGACGGCCCACGGGGGCCCCACAACGGTCCCTGAGAGGCACCAAGGGCCCCCATTGAGGCCTCCAAGAGGCCCCAGCTCCCCAAGAGCCCCCCCCAAAGACACCAAGAAACGTTAACACGGCCCCCAAGACATCCCAAGAGGCCGCCCAAGGGAAAACCAAAATGCCAACATCGCCAACTTCCCTTCGTAAACCGTGCGTTTTCAGCATCAACAACGCTCCAAGACGGCCCCAACGCATCAACAACGTTTTAAGCCTTCCCGACGCTGCAAGACGGCCCCAAACGCCCCCCAGATCGCCCCACGACGGCCCTAGAGGCACTCAACAAATCCCCACGACGGCCCAAGAGGGCCCCACAACGACCCAAGAGGCGCCCAAGACGGCCCAAGGGGGCCCCAACAGCGGCACCAAAGCGAGATGAAGGACCACCACAGAGGCCCCCAACAAGCCCCAGCTCCCCAAGAAGCACAAACACTGCCCCCCAAGACGCCACCACAGCCCCCAAGACACACCCAGAGGTTCCCCCTGGCAGCCCCAACATGCCAACATCGGCGAATTCCCTGTCGTAGCAAACATACTGTTCCAGCATCGACAGCTTCTCGCCCTTCCGACCCCCCAAGGCGGCCCACGACGCCCCCCCACATAGCTCCAAGACGGCCCTAGAGGCACTCAACAAATCCCCACGACGGCCCAAGAGGGCCCCAAGACGACCCAAGAGGCGCCCAAGACGGCCCAAGAGGGCCCCAAAACGGCCCGCGAGAGGCACCAACCAAGGACCCCCACAGAGGCCCCCAACAGGCCTCAGCTCCCAAAGAAGCACAAACAAGGCCCCCAAAGACGCCACCGCAGCCCCCAAGACACACCCAGAGTCTCCCCCTGGCAGCCCCAAGGGGCCAACATCGGCGAATTCCCTACATCGACAGCTTCTCGCCCTCCCGACCACCCAAGGCGGCCCAAGACGCCCCCCACATAGCCCCAAGACGGCCCAAGAGGCACTCAACAAATTCCCACGACGGCCCAAGAGGCGCCCAAGACGGCCAGGCCCCCGAGAGGCACCAAGGAGCCCCACCGAGGCCTCCAACAGGCCCCAACTCCCCAAGAGGCACAACAAAGGCCCCAAGAGACGCCAACACAGCCCTCAAGACACACCCAGAGGCTCCCCCAAGGGAGCCCCAAGAGGCCAACATCGGCGACTTCCCTTTGTAAGCGTGCACTTTCAACATCAACAACTTCTCGCATCCCCGACGCTCCAAGGCGGCCCAAGCCGCCCCCCAGATCGCCTGAGAGGCGCTCAAGAGGCTCCCACGACGGCTCAAGAGGGCCCCAACACATCCTACTAGGCGCCCACAACAACCCAAGAGGGCCCCAGCACTGCCCCCGAAAGGCACCGAGGACCCCCACAGGGGCCCCCAACAGGCCCGAGCCCCCCAAGAAGCCCCCAACATACTCCAAGAGACGCCAAAGCAGCCCCGACGAAGGGTTAAAGCTGCTTCCGGAAAGCAACCTGCAAGCCTCTTACCC